GATACTTCAAATGGTCTGAAACGAAGTATTTCTGCAGTTTCATTCTTCAGGCATAACTAGAAAACGACAAATCTGGAAAATATTATTTAAATTCTTAGGCTACAGCTGGTTTTTTCTTTTTGCAGTTCTTTTCTCCTACTGTTACAATTCAGCCCACCTTGAAACTGGCGAAAAGAAGTTCTAGAGCAACAAAGAAAAACAAAATTTTACTGTATCATCTTTATACTTCAGTTATTCTAGAAATGGTGATTATAATTCTAAATTCAAACTTTATTTGGCTTGGATTGGGATCTGCCCACAGAAGGTCTGTGAATAGACAGCTTTGTAGCATACTCATACTGTATAAGACAATTGGACGTTTTATGTTACGAATCGCATCTCTCGACGTCATCCATTGCGAGACACCACCGTGGCAACAAAATAAAGTGTCTGAAACCTTTTACATCAAAAAATGATAACTTGTCTTTCATTTAGTTTCTTGACAATTTTTAGCAATCACAGTTAAAAAGAAACATTGTCTGCTGTTATTTTTCACAAAGCTGCTCACCGCAAATCTAACTGAACAAAATTATTCAACTTCGAATGCAGAATTTTCAAATCATTTTCCTCATAAACTGCTGATATGCCTTAAAATTCATCAGTATTAGCTGAACTAGAATTTTCCTGATTTCGAAATTGCGTTAAAAAGCTTAATTAGCGTATATTTTAAAAAAGCTTAAAAAATCTTTACTGAAAATATTGAAGATTAAGTCAAACCGTTAACGATAGCTGCAATAGGCATATAATCGAAGATCTGCGAGAAAAGTGCAAAGATTTTCTGATCATTATAAGCGTCCATGCACTGTAACTGGTCTGATATTACCATAAAAACTTTACCAAACAATATCTTAAACTGTTAAACTGATTGAAAAATTATTTATTAGGAAGTTTCTTGAGCGAAGAAATTCTTAACTGTTAACAGCAGTTACTTCAGCACACGGCAAACGTTCTGTTGCTTATTTTTTAAATAGACTGATAACACAAAAGAAACCGTTTTATCCATTCTTCACCTGACAACATTCAGTAAAGAAGCCAATTCAGGGTCTGTATATCGGCAAATCAAGACCCAAAAATTTTCACCGCTAACCAGTTCCTAGTATTTGAATGCAATTAAAAAATTATCTGCAGTGACATGCTCATTTTGCCAATTAATTACCCTCTGATTATTAATGATTTTTTTCTGAAGGTACACTGAGTGTCCACTACTAATTAACATCTGTTTAGACCCCACCGACACTTGAAACTTCAGAATCTTCTCCAAAAATGTGCCCATCTTTTCTCCATTACAATTCGCTACTGTGGAACAGAGTAGTACCAGTGAAACATTGCCCAAATAAGTGCTACTTTTTTGACAACAGTTACTGAAGAACTGAACCTTGCAATCGACATTTGATTTGATCACTGTAGAACAAAGTATTAGGCTGTTAATTTTTTTTTGAGTATGTTCTACTTTATTACCCCTCCCAAAATTTATTGCGGTTATATGTGCTCTAATACCTTCCCTAAATTACCGTTTCACGCTTTATATATCCTTCTCAGTTTCCCAATTTATCTGTTGTCTTGCTCGTCAAGTGTCATAAAGGTCGTTCAAATGTCTTCAAAGAAAAAGAGAGACAAATCACTTCCCATCTATAGATAAAACGATTCAAAAGATTATAGGCGTGCAAGTTACGAGTCGGAAGTATCAGAACGTTTACCGAGGTTTGTACGTTATACAGATGTTCTGCTGGATTCTAACTCCACAGCAGTTAAACTTTAAGGATTTCTTTGTAATATTCATCTGCTGTTGGCGGACGAGCCAAAACGTCATCTGAAGGAAAAAATAAAAAACTAACTTTTCTTGTCAACATTTTAAAACTAGTTTCAAATGTGTAATTTTTTTTCCTTTTTTTTTTATTTCACATATAAAACAGTCGTAGTTATAGAGCAAACTTGGAAATAACACTGATTGTTGTTCAAGCGATACCGCTGCAAAAAAAGTGTCTGCTATGTTCCGTTCGGCACATTCATGCGTCCCTCGGAGCATGTAGATGTGGCGAGGCCATCGTAGCTTAAGCAAGAGAAGCATTATGAAAACATCAACCTGTTGCTTTCCGCGACCAACATAATCGCCTAAACTCAACAGTTTTTGAAAAGTCTTTAGATATAGAGCAAACACTTACTAATTTAGGGTTACAAAATTATACTCATGAAAAGTAACATAGTCAGAGGTGCTGCTGTATTACCTAAAAAGAGGTACTGCATTTCTGGTGGTGGACCGTTTTCACGTAAAATAACAATTAAGTCGTCAAAACTACCATGAAGATCACTTGCCACAACACAGTGATCTGTGACAGTAAATTCTACAAGTGTTGGACCAAGACGGAAAACTTCTGTACCGAATATCAAAAACTAAAATAGTTTCATAAAGACAATGCAGAATGGCTCTGCGCAAAAGGCTTGAGTTTTGGCCCTAACAATTAATTTATCTAAATTTTTTTCTGGATTTTTTACAAATTTTTTGTTACCAGTAGTGACTTTACGTAGCTATTGAACTATATACAAAGTTATATGGGTTGATTGCTTAAAATGACTGTCTTCAAAAAAAAAAAAAAAAAAAAAAAAAAAAAAA